AAAGGTCTTTTGTATATATCTTACAGTCTCGTTAAGTTTTATATTTAAAATCTAAATTTAAATGGGATTGTTTTTGGCGCCTTTTGTTACTATTGTTTTCTGTTTTGGATTGATAGGTGTACGTGTTCTGTAGTAAATTAATAAACTGTAAGTACATTTGCTTTGGTGTTGCTCACTCGTTGTTAGCACCCGAGCCCATTATACAGTCGCTGTACTTTTTGTTTTAAAATATCACTACCGACCATAAATAATTATATTATCATAAACAACGTAATCGACATTTTTGGCGAACTTGAGTTATTACCATATCACACTGTTAATACAAATAGTGTATTAACTCAAAAAATGCATTTTCTTAGAATCGATGAAAAACGAATTGCTCACTTCTTGCGAAAGATTATTAAAAACAAGTATGTATAGGTCAAAGTTTATTACAGATATCTGAATAATTTCCTACGTGCCAAATATGTTTACAAATAAAAAGAAAGTTACTAAAATGTAAATGCGTTGTACAGGACAATAGCCCTACTTGTCATAAACGTCGGTAGTCAAAGTTTTGTTATTTATTTATGGAAACTCTCCCGAACCACCCAGCAATTTGAACACTTTTAACAAGATTAAAACGCAACTAAAGGTTAGTACCTACTCCTTTTTTCACAAATTTGAGAAGTCACAGTTTGTTTTTAAATCTTAAAACTTAAAAAATAAGCAATTTTTAATACTAACGCATATTTTCAAATCGAATACGATGTTACGACAGCTATAATACCTAATATATGAGCAGCTAAAACTATATGCAGCAGTCATGTTACCCGTATATGGCATTCCGATGACATAACGGCGGTAGCAGTTATGTTATCAGTTTGAATAACTATTTGCAAGCCTGTTCTTGTATATAGTTGATGGGGCACGAATGAGCACGTTTGTTTGTTTTTTTTAACGCGAGGCTAGATCTTAAATGAAATGTGGGGGGGTCACGCGCGCGCTTTAAATTAATATGAATAAAATAAGAACAGGCGGAGACAATTTGACACAGATCCGTAGTCGACAAGCGCCCGATGGCGACTGACAGGGCAGCGTGTCGTTAAACCGTTGGGCAATTTGCAAATTTTGAGATAAATGTGAATTTAATAACTAATAGGATTTCAGTTGAAAATCAAATTTTTAGCAGGTTGTCTGCAGTACTTAAAGAAAAATATCTCCATATAAAAATTTCAAAAACGTCAGATATTTTATTCTTCAATTTGTTTTAGACATTTATTTTAGCCTGTTTTCAGGACTTTATACGATCGGATAATGTACCCACATCCCATCGTGTAACACATTAGCATATTCTTTAGACAATATCGTATATGTTTGAAAGACCGTTATTTAACAGCAAATATCTAAACCATTTTGATTTAGCAAACCAGTTTTTCCCGCTTCTCCTCCGGTCTCCATTTTATGGAAGTACCTTTAGTATTGCAATTATGCGTTACTGCTCGTATGCGTGCCCATAATTATTATAAATGTAATTATTTTTATCATGTCAGGTCACCTCCATTATCCTCAACAGGAAATCGTCGTGAAAATAAGCGTATTGCTCAACAATGGACTTTGCCATAATCGTCAGACGCGACAGGCGGAATAGCGTTCGCTGTTGAACTACAATCTATACCGAAGCTTATTTACTCAGCTGCTTATCTCACAGAGTTATCAGCACTTTCCACACGCCCACGGGAAAAAAATTACGTAACTTGTTTTTCAAGACCTCTACAAAAAATGACTGAAAAATAATAAGAGATTCCCAAGTCGCCATGCAAGCTTTTGCCAATGTGTCTCGATCCTAACACCGCTCTACGGCCGTGACATCTCCGGTCGTTCACCTCGCTCAACTGATCTTTACACCGACCTACTAACTTCCCTATACCTGCACTCTTATCAACAAGAAATAGAGACGGCTTTCCTGCAACACGTCACATTGAAATTAAGCTATTGTTGTGAACGCTTTGTATACTACGCCTTGATAAATGGCAAAGGAATAGCAAGGAAAGTGCCTTATTGGAGCCCAGTACAACGAATAGGATCAATTTACGTGTTTAACAATTTAAAATGTTGTTTTCTCTTATTGTTGATTTGGTCTAAGCACAGTTGTTTGAGTGTGACATCATAGTCCATGAGAATAAGAACCTTGACCTGTTATCACAAGCGATAACTACGTATTAAAAGGTTAATTGTATACCCACCACATCAGCTTTGTGCAACGAACAAGAATAATTGTTTCTTTTTTAACGTAGCCGCATGTCACGCACTATCTATCGTGATAGTGCGTGACAAACGGATATTTATTCTAGTAATACTTGCCTATAACTGATTACAATATATATATTATTACATTATAGTATTGTCTTGTATGTATTAAATTATATTCTAAGTATATACTAGATATTAATTAAGTATATGGTACATACTTTTTACAAAACACCGATGATATATTCAATATAAAAAGAACGATGGTAGCTCAGTGTGAGAGCAGTTGATTTTCAATTAAGAGTTCGGCGACTTGTGTACTGATTTTAATTCCTAAGTTTTTATATTTGTGAATGTTGAGTAGCAATACATCTCCCTTAGGTGAAAGAAAACTTCGTGATTCCGGCAAAATTCTATCAAACAGACAGAAACACCACCAACACTGCACAGCTGTGAAAAAAAACAGGATTGCAATATAGTAAAACAAAAATTACCCCACTAACACTACAGACCTTTTAAAAAAATAACCATGATTGCAAAAAGCGATATAACAAAATAACAATGTCCGAAGATCCTGCGATTTAACATACGGTGACGCTGTTCCACTTCCTGGATTAACTCCTTACTCATTACCTGAGTCACCGATAAAACGATATAGACGCTCGGCTCGCTCAGAGTTTAAGAAATTACGTTACCACGGTTAGAATATAAAATACGTCATCAATCTTCCTTGCAAATTATGATAATCACATCAGAAATGACGTTCAATTTCGTATACGTGATTAGGTCACATTTATCATGAATAACCGATAGCACGTGGTGCAGATTGAGGTAGAATACATTGCTGTATAATATTATAAGCCCTCAAACGTGACCATTTTATGCACGAGCACGACGCATTGGTGCGTATAATCTATTGCGTTGAATGATCGCATGATGATACTGGGCTTCGATAAAGCTTTTTAGAGAGAACTGTATGTGCCGTCGGGTGTTTTTTGTCACATTTCTTATAATAGAAAATAGTCAACATACATTTTTTTATACATTAAAATAAGTGCGCGTTTGACCTCCATCGCACCTGATGGAAAGTGACGAAAAGGTCGACGATGGAACATGCATACCTATACCAAGTCAATTAATTCTCGCCTTGAAAACGTCCAAGTTATAGCGTTCAGGGGACAAATGTTCAGGCAGGGAATCCAATGCAGAACGCTATATAAATTCTTGGATATTTCATACTCAAACGTATTTGTAAAACTCTTTGATAGTTACGTGCAACTAAGTTCTATAACTGTGTCCTTTAAGTCACCATCAAAAGCAATATCTGCAGACGTACGGACAGAAACTGCAGTCGCCCCTAAGGACTCCTATTTACAGTTTAAATATGGACTACTAAAACGCATTCTAAAATAGTATTTTAGCATAAAACCTGAAATTAACAAAAATATACCTAATGCACTACCAAGTTCAAGCAAGAACACCTCAACCGAATGGCGTCTAAAAGTACCAGAGCATCATAAACGACAATAACTATAAAAGTGTCGTGGACGTATACGACCACACAAAACAGTGGGATTATTTTCTTGCCGCTATTAGGGCCATCGTCGAAATTGGCCGGCGATATTATTTCTGTTGGAAAGGGCAATGTCTCCTGTGACGACTAGACATCCTCAAGATCAATATCGCGGCGACACGCATAAGTAAACAGTTGTTTACTTACGTACTAGGTCTTTATGAGCGAGACACATGGGATAAAGTTTCAGTATTTTAGACAAAAATAGCATTTCGAAAACTTTTATACAGAAAATAAAAGCAGTTTCTTTGTAAAACGCACACGGCGGTAAGTTGCGAGTGAAACCCATAAAATGTTGTGAAATAATCGAATTACCAATTTACTACAAAATATTTAGTGTAGGCTAAAGCGGTTGATTTGCAGCGAAAGTGATCCAATGTAAAGCGATCATAGTATATTTATCGAGCGAGTGGTGCTAATCAAGTGAAACAAGCATTCGTTGATTAGCTAATTGTGTTAAATTTTTGTGGTTGGTTAGGCCTACCAAGTTTGTTTTTGTTCTTTGTACACATATTTTGCTTTGTAAAATGCAGAATGTATTTTCATTACTTGTATATTGTAATCAGAATCAATTAAGTATTGAATTGACATATATGTTATAATGAAAACTTTTTTGCATTTCGACTGATTGAAACTCATTGCAAACATAATTGACAACCTCCGAGATTCGAAAAACAAATGACGAAAGTATTTATGTGTCACTCTTAAACGACGACGTGGAGAATAAACGCTAGTTTCAGATCGCAGCAGTTTTTCTGCAAAATGATGCAGGTAAAAGCTTTGGTAAGGTGTAACGATTTAATTTTGAAATTTATGGCAAGTGACGGTTGTATTGATGCGGCTGTTGCCTGCGGTCGGCGGCAGACGGAAGCGGCGGCGGCAGGCGTTTCCCCCGCGGCGTGTGGCGGGCGGGGATTCGCCGTGCGCCGTTCAATAGCGTCAGCTGTAGGGTGGCCAAGAAACTTCAAAACTCCTTATCAGCTGGTTTGACTATATAGGTCAAGTTCACTAAATATAATAAGACTATTGTTTTATAGATCTGCAAATAATTTTTTTAAATTTATGTTTAAAACTAAATTTAATCTCTTTAAAACCTATTTAAGACCATTTTCAATTAGGATGTCATTATTACTATATATAAACTTAGGGTTGGCCTTTTCTAGGCCAATATCGGTGCATAGAAATTAGTTGATAAGAAACCATTTAGCTCAAAAATTAGCGAAATGAGATTTAGTAATACTGTGAAATTTTGGTCACCCTATGTAGTCGCCATTTTGTAGAACCGCCGCGTTCCCCCACTGCGCGTCAGTCGCCCGCCAACCGCTCGCTTGTGTATGCGGTCCGCGTTCGAACGCTGATGTTTTTAGTTCGCTAAAATGCAGTTTGAATATGATCCGGAGCGCCTTATAGAAGAAGTGCGTAAGCGGCCCGGTATTTGGGACTTCGAAGATGTGAACTACCGCACCAAAGAAATACGGCACAAGTTATGGACGGAGGTAGTCGTCGAGTTACTGCATAATGTAAAGGTGACGAAGAGCGAGATGCGAGAACTGGGTAATTTTGAACTCTATTAACTTTAGTACGTTCATTGTTTCTAGATGTCGTTACACGTTGTGCTTTTTGAAGACAAGAATGGCAGTGACCTTGTCACGTTGTGTATCACGCCAACCGGCGTTTTTATAAACCGCTTGTTAGGTTATGTTGATGCATATTTTATTGCGGGATTTTTAGTTATTATTGTTGGACTGCATAATCGATTAAATCGATTGGTATTACAAGGAAACCGAAAGTATTGATAACATATCGAATGTTGTCATGCGATAACGGTGTTCAGATACCTACCTAGATTGTTTATGGGCTTATTTGATTTTTTTGCAGAATTGCAACTACAGAAAAAGTGGAAAAGCATCAGAGACTGTTTCAATAAATACATACAAAACCCAAATAGAACAAAGCGTCCGTACGTTTATTGCAAACATCTACAATTCCTGCTTAACAAGAATGAGTCAGGAGCGGGAGATCAAGACGGGAGGGGTGGGGCATCAAGCGAGTCTGATGATGGAAAGAGGCAGGTGTTTTGGTCTTCGAGAAAGAAAAAAATGAAACTTGCCAAAGAAGAGGACCCGGTTTCTTCAGATGATGACAATGATAATCTTCAGGAAGATTCAACATCGTTGCATGAAGTAGAAATTAATATACCACCGCCAGCTAAAGTACCAAGAAACAGCAAGCAACTGTTTGATGAATTTGCTTTTGCTAATGTTGACCAGAAGAGTGAAGAGGATACTGACAAAATGTTTTTATTGTCTCTACTGCCACATTTAAAGTCGATCCCTGAAGAATTTCGTTTAAATGTCAAAATGGAATTGATGCAAGTCCTGCGACAGGCCAGCTATAGCATCGGTACTGATCATAAGATAATTTAGGCTAGCTTTGTGATCTTGAAATGACTGACTTTAGTTTTAATCTTAACTTTATGTTAGTACATTCCGAATTAATAATAAAAAAGAAAATTTTGACTTGAATAAGAGTTTGATTCTGCCATTTAATTCGCATTTAGGTGGAAACCATCTTGGATCTCATCGTATCAAGTTTCAAATGAGGGATATTTTTTCTTTTTGTTAGCAAACACTATTGTTTAATCTATTATCTACTTTAAAATGCTTATCACGACTTAACAATAATGACTAAATTTGGGAAATTAGTTGTCGATTTCGTTAGGATGGGGAATTTTGAAAAAAAAAGACGACAACACGGGGTGACGGCGAAAGCGGACGGGTGCGTGTTATTAAAAATTAAAAATAAAAGGAATATGTTCATTAAGAGCCTGCAGTGATTATTCCCTGGTTCTTTCCTATACCGAATCGATTGGGTAAGCTAACAGTTTCATACAATCAGTTGTAAATTAAGGAAGAAAATCTAAAAAACGACATTCGAAAATATTCATCTTCCTTCGTAACCGTGCTTCGTAATCAATTTCGTTAGAATTGCTTGGTTTTGTAACCACAGCCGTTTTGCAAGTGATTGATTCTCTTTTCATAACATATCTACTTATTGATTATTTTCTCTTCCTGAACCAAACACATAGTACCTCGAAATATCGTGTCTTTAACTCATGTATCGACGTCAACATTGTTTATTTATTTCATAACACACACATGTTTGTAATAAATAATATTATATTATATTATTCATTAAAAAATATATATTCGATATTGAATTTTAAACGTATTTCAAGTGCGTTATCATATTATCCGCATGATAATCCAACCTTGGAATGGAATGTCTAACATGCTACAACATTTGGAAATGAAATGCTTTTGGTTTTACATAAGACCGATTGTAGGCTGGCAAAAGTATATTAATAAAATCGTAATAATAATGTTTTACTGCATACATGTCTGACGAATTTCAAATTAACTAGGTATGTACGTATATGTTAATAAGAACATTATAAAGCCATTTGTTTTAACACTGTAAGATTCTTTCTCTTTGTGAAGTGATTCCGACACATCTATAACATACTTTTCATTACGTCACATAGTTGTAGCGGAATCATTGTACTCACACAAATCTACTGGGTATAACATTCACTACATTTTATTGTCTGCGCTGCTCGGTGGTCCCACTAATTTTGACGGCCCCAGGTTTGTTGCATCATTATCTTTTCCTACGTAGCAGTTGTTATTGCTCAAAAGCGTCACCCAAAGACACTTCATATTTTATGTTTAGAGAAAAAAATTAAGACAAGAATTCACGACGTGTGGAGAATATTTTGTACTTATTTAAAAATTTCAATGATAAGTCTTTATCTTTATTTATATTTACAAAGCTAAGTCTTTATCATTAGAAGGAACATGGTAATTTTTGACAAAAAAATTTATTAGTCACGAATGACGAATAATTTCGTCTTTTATTGTAACAGCTTGAGTATATCTTGTGTGATGCAATGTTTGTTTACTCGTAACTGGTTAAAAGTCGTTAAAAATAGTTTCGAAGCAAGCTTACGATAAGGGCCGAAATATCCTAATTTCTCAGTTTTTAAATTCATATAGAAATACACTTATTTCTGCAGTGTATACTAAACAAAACATGTGTTACGCTAAATTGACAGATAAGTAAACATTAAATATTCAAACAGTAAATAAACAATATTCGTTTACGTCTAAAACTTATAAACACTCCCGAGTGAATTGATAAATCTCCCCGTCTAATTTTATATTAGATGTGTATTCGGAATGAATCGTATTTCCATATTTATAACAGCTCCTCTCTTGGTCTCTTTATATCGGATTTATAAATTGTATATATAGATTTGCGGTGAAGGAAAACATTGTAAGGAAACCTGTATTTCGAAGAAGGTTCAAACCCTCGGAAAACGTGGCCTAAATCCTCACCCGAGGGGCCTAGACCTATGCCCAAGCAGTGAGACGTATAAATAGGTTGATGATGCCTTTTTACTTGCACCTTTTTATTTTTTTGGGTTGGCTGGAAGACATTTATTTTAGAGATAAGTTATAAGATCGGAATACTTTTTAATTAATTAATTATTTTATGATTAATCATAGAAAGGGTAAGCAAAGGTGGGCTCACCTTTTCTATAATTAATTTTTCTGATCTAGTTTTTGGTGCAATAAAGAAAATAAAAATGATAATGATAGTATTCTATAATAAAAAGAAATATCTATAGTATTTACCTGAGATCTAAATAGGTAAGGGACTGCAGTCCCCCCACAGCCTCTGGTACATTTCTAATGATATTTTGAGAAAGCAACAGTTTCTCCAGGTACAGGTACGTCGTCAGTTCGTCTGGCAGGTCGCTGAATCTATTCTTTGACAAATCTGAAACAAACAAAAATAACGATGATATTTTATGCATTTTGTGTACAAAGCAAAATGAAAATTTAATTTAGAAAAAACAAATATACGCGATTTAAATCCGGAAAAATACTTTCATTTCCTATGTGTAACAATCGCGAACACCTAAGAACTCGATAAAAAAAATCTATGAATTTTCTGGACAAGAACTATAGGTACTGTCCTCGTCTTCAAAAAAGACAGACTATAACTACTTAACTAACGTAATCGACATTTTTAGCAGCAACATGAGATCTACAACCCTCTCTAATCGGTTTTTGATTTTTTGAATTTTGTTTAGTGTCAGTTTTATTGTTACGTAAAATCAGCGGAATTGGCATTTTTTACTAGCAAGCAAAAAAAGCTTTAGGCCAGTATGACGAAAGTTACCGAAGTGCGTTAGTTATGACAAGGAGAGCAGTATACAAGATACAAGTTATTGCAGACAAACGTAATGATTAACTGATGTCTTCCAAATTATAATAAAGTTTGAAATTTACTTTACTATTACACAATTTCTTAGAATTACTTGAGTGTTTCTTGGTAACATTTTGATAGTCACACGCCATACTTTTAATAGCTCAATTAAAAGGATATTAAGACTCAACACACTGTTATTACTGTTATTCTATAAAGGTAAAGCTGCATCTACAAACATTAAATGAACATCGAAATGTCCAAAAAAACTCGCGTTAGTAAGAAAATTGTTATTTCACTTAATCGCCTTACGCTGCCTTAGAAGTGTGGAAATATAATTTTACCCAAAATGAAACTGAATAGGTCTGTTTCAACAACACTCCCTTTTGTTATTTTGTACTCATGACTGCTGTTAGGGTGGAAACAACGGTCTCTATTCAAAGACAGACTGGTTTTACGACTTTACTAATGGCAAATAATTTTACCCTTATTTCATTTGAAGACGAAGTGCTCAATGCCATAAATCTTTGGAAAGCCGTAAAGAACCACAGAAATAGAATTGAAGTACTGTGACGTATTAGGCCTTGGCTGAATTTATTGCCTTAGATCGTAAATGAGAATTGGTATTGTAAACCGTTGAACTCTGAATTGTAATGAAAGTAATAAAAGTGCAATAATAACAATGGTAATATGCACCTGAAGTCATACTTTACATACAATCACGAATAAGGAAACCAGAAGTAATAAACGGCACAAATGTGCTGAACCAGACAATTGTGCCGTTTTCCTTATCCTTAAATAGAGAATCTTGGTACAGGGTAACGAAGTTAATTAATTATCGGGACATTATTCAGAAGACGAAGAGAATAAATTAATCGACAACAAATTTATATTCCACAAGAAATCACACCAGCATAAGCCTTGAACGTAAAATTAAAAGACAAGTGTCAAGTATGAAGCTTCATTCGCATCACGCGTCTTTTCATTTGGTCAAGAATTGCTTATTTGGCAGTAATTGGTTCGGACGGATGTCGGACGGAGATCGAGAGTAGACCCCCAGGGCTTAGACAATAAAGAAGTTATATTAAGACCTAGGCGAAGGATAAGCAAACCGATTACGCTAATGAATTAAATTACGTAAACAGAGTCTCTTATGCAAACCAGTTGTGGTTCGTTGACACTGTATGCACTGCGCAGGGGTTGATGTGGTCTGATCGTCTTACAACCGAGCTGAGACTGCCTATTAGCTGGGTAATTACTTCATTGTTTTTTTTTAATTAGATCCGTTGTGTTTAGAAACACTTTCTTCTAAACAAATCTTTATGAAATATTGGTAACTTAAAAAGGAATAATTGATTCAAAACTCGTTTAGATGATTCTGTCAATACTACTGCGAATTGGATGTCAATTATGAAAAAGTAGGTAATTAATATTCAATCATCATCTAAATCTGAATTGACTCGAGCAAGTATTAGAATAGATAGTATCTATAACCGATAGATAATATACAATACGTCGTCGGCTAAATTAGAAAACCTCGTAACTCCGTTTTTGAACGAAATCCCATGTTTACTCTTCAAACGCAATATCGGGCAACTAAAACTTAAGCCGACGAATCAGTTCACTTGAATGAAAACAACACTCAAAGTCATAAACTTGTTTATTGAATTTTGCTTAGCTACATAGATAATAATCTTAGAAAAATCTGAATATCAGTTGTAAGATATAGGCAGCGCTATTTCCAATGTTAACCAACCGTATAATGCCCTATGATACGCTTGTTAACACAAATCAATTTGTTATGACAACTTTGTTAGGAAGATTTCCGAATCTGTCCGTTAGGCTTGAAAATAAGGTAAGCTTTATACATAATAGGTAAACAATGTGTTCTCGGTCCTTTACTAATGTAAATATAATTACTTAAATATATATCGAGTTCTTAGGTTTTCGCGATTGTTACACATAGGAAATGAAACTATTTTTCCGGATTTAAATCGCGTATATTTGTTTTTTCAAACAAACCGACGTTTCGGGCCCTTTACAGGTCCCATGGTCACGGTTGACTGAGCCGTTTCATTTCCTATACTTAAATATAATTAATCAGTTGCTAATGTAATTATTAGCAATGACAACACCTACTTATGCTCATTGATAAGTGTTTATTCCTTACGATGACTAACTAATGTTGGTAATAAATCACTGTGTTATTGGATTATAGGTATTCAAATTATTTCCTGTTTCCTCCCTTGAGAGATATTTAAATTATGTCATCCAGTAAATTAAGTTTACCTAATTATTAAAATAAGAAAATACAATAGGTTTATCTGGAAAACTAAACAGAAAAGCTCTAGATGTAGGTACTTGGCTGAGCATTTCAATGTGTGGAATCGCAGAGACTGAACACTGCAGAAAATATTTTTTCTGCAGTGTTCTAACTACAGACCAGCCAGTCCCCGAAAAAGTTAATGTGATGAGCTGAATATCTATCTTCCCTGATTAGCCGGAAATATGATGATTCGTGATGGTTCGCGTAGATGAAGCAAGGCATTTGTCTTGCGGAACGACAACAGTCTAGCAAAACAATAAAATAACTGAAAGTTAAGCATGTATCATTGCTAATTTATTTCGCATGATATCTTTTGTTCTTTAAAATGACTCAACGTCAATCAAGATCAATTGGTCGCGATTTCCAATCAAAATATCACATGGCCAACAATCTTTCAGCTATGATTTCTCAATGTTTTTGTACTTAATGTGTACAGTATTCAATACTTCGTTAAAATGTATAGAAAGAGTTCATAACAAAGGAGCATGGTGAGTAAATAAATCGTAGTTCACGAATGTATGTCAATATGGGCCACGATAAAAACTGGTTTTCAATATTTATTCTCCTGTCTATTTGGTTTCCGTGAGAACCATTCAACGAAATCATTCACAAAATTCTTTCTGGTTCTTTCCTTATTGAACTTCGAAACCGAGTAGAGTTGTCGTTGAATAGTAGGTATTCGAAAATGTCATTAAAGCCTAACTCAAATTTGTCTTACAGCAACATAAAAAGAGGTGACCATATCATTTTTAATGTCAAAAGTACGCCCAGTAATATAACTAATGGAAACTGTTCCCGCGAGACTAACAGAATAGTATTACTTTTTCGAAATTAGGTCACATAAATATTCTAATGATGACAATGTTTTATTTAAAGTAACTTTAATACTTTGCATGTGGCGCACTTCACTTGAAATAATATCTACTGTGTATTTCGGTCAAGAATGTATTTAATTACTAAGACAATTACAGGCATAAATAAAATCGTAAATATTAATATCTGCAGAAAAAGATTGAAGAATCCAAGAATGTACAAACTTTGCAACAGCGTTGGAATGACGTGTCCATTCAAAGCACAAAGAAAGCAAAGTCTATGTTTTACAAAGGTTTTCTTTACAAAGACGGCATGTAGCGATATTGTATGAGAAGAGGTTTCCTACGCGTTAATGAGGGAGTGCCTTGGAACAATGGAGACGGGTCCTTGAGAAGTAATGAAAGTTTAAAAGGACTGCGATACACGAAGTTTCGAAAAAGAGTGATGCCGTCGAAAGTTTTTGAAAGGATCTGACACGAACTTAAATATTTTATGAGAGCGAATTTCCTATGTCAAAGAGGCCAAGTTGAAGTTACTAGAATAAAACAAGTTTTAACTTTGGGTGTAAGTTCGGCACTAACCGTTTCGAGTTTCTTAATTCAGAAATCAAAGTTTTATTGCGATTGAATGTTTTAAGGCACCTCAAAGTAACACAGCATTGCCAAAACACAATTAGAATGGAAATCATGGTAATAAATACCACTAGAAAATATCAATAGCGTGGCATCTACAACTACATAGATCAGAGCTAATAACTAGTTGCCTTGCAGGCTCTATAAGTACACAATTATTTACCAGAGTTTCCGGTGGACGTAAACGAGTGGTTCAGATGCATGACTCACCGCTCAGCAACTTATTTTAGTTACATACATAGGACTCTTGTAAGAGCGCAATTAATGTAAACACTTCGTGATAAATCGTAATAGTTATTGTAAGGAAGGTTATTAAACTTTCGAAACAGTAGACAATGATTATTTACTTTACAGTGTACATAACACCAAAAGTATTTTAATGAGAAAGGATGAATATAGGTTGATGTAAGTGAAGAAGCAAGAGAAGAAAGTCGTGTAGAGAGTGTTTACATCTAAACAGAAACAAAGGTAAGTAACAATGCAATTTACGAATATTACAAACCATAAATCGAACTAATGGAAATGGTATTACGGTCAAACAACGGTAACATAACAATTTTACAGTATAATTTACAATTACGACTAAATATATAACATTGCTTCAAATTTACGATGAAAATTAATAAACACGACGTTACTGAATCGACTTCAAAGCAAAGTTTGCCGTCCTACTGCTGTAGGACGGCAAGCTTTTAATATAAACAAAAATATTTTTAACAGCCAAAATGTAACAGCTGAACTTTCTTATGGCGAAGGCCGGATTGTTAACCCGACTGAAGCTAAGTTAGCTTTAATTT